TCCTCCTCCACAGAGATCTCCAGCTGGGTAATCATGGGGGTCTCGAGGCAAGAGTCAATTAGGATGGGTGGGGAAGATGTTTCCCCACTCCCCAGGATCTGATGCAGCTCCTGGTAATACAGGGCAGGTGTGGGGTCCTGGCCCTGAGTGAGTGCTGTGCTCTGTGGCCCGGACATATCCCTGGTAGAGCTCCTTGACTTTACTCCAGACTTGTTTGAAGGTTTGGGGTGGGTGTCTGTACTGTGCCAGGGACTTGGCCATCCAGGCATAAATGTCTGTGTTGTGGTGCTTGGCCCGGGGATCCTGTAAGGTCTCCTCCTCTCTCCACAGTTCGAGGAGAGACTGGATCTCCAGGCTAGACCAGGACAAGTGTGCCTCTTGGTCCTCCTGGGTGGGTCTTGGGACCCCTGGGACTGCTCCCTGTGAGGGCCAGGGGAGGTTGTGGGGGGCTTGAGTCTGTGCTATTCTATGCAGCCCTGTGGCAGGGAGAGCCGACGGTCAGGGTGCTTCTCTGAAACTGGTTTCCTGTCACAAGGCTTGTCCAGGATGGCTGCAGCTTTAAGAGGGGCCAGGAGACAGGAGCTATAGAATTGTGATTACTTCATATGGAGTGGCCACCAGGGCACCTGTGCTATTTCCTGGAGGCCTCTTCTTTAAAAAAAAAAATCTTCCTTCCCATCCCCACACACCTTTTTTTGAAAGAGCTCTTTCACAAAAAGGCTTCTTCTTCATAGAATGAGGAGTACCAGTGTTGGAAAAAGCCCTCAGTTCTTTGTATTTACTTTCAAAAGAACATGATTGCAGTGTAGACATTACTCAAGTTTTGTCAGAAAAATGGCTATTTTTCCTACAAAATTCTGTAGTGTAGATATACCCTAGATTCACGTTCTTATTCTGGCTGATTCAGTGTGATCTAGAATGAAAAGCTCTGCTCTGAATCAAGCAGAGTATGGATTGGTTCTCACATATCCCAGGCATATGCCCTATCCGAAACGATGAATCCATACCCTCCTGAATGAAAAAAAAATAGGTTTTGGTCCAAAAATGGACTTTATGACACAATAACATGACTTTGTTAAAATGTTTGAAATATCTTGTTTTCATTCCAGGCTGGAACAAAAATATTTTTTTTAAACCTGAAGTTGCTGCATTATGGGATTGTTGTCCTCTTCTCAGCTATAGTTTCTAGGGGCACAAATGGCAAATAAGAAATCAAAATTCAAAGCCCACATGTATTCATCCATATTGATTTATAATTTATAAAAACAAAAAAAACTTTTAATTTTAAAGCTTTCAGCCAGTTCAAATCTTATTTTTTGGCAACTAATGAAACATGAACATTTCTCAGTGTTAATGATCTTGCATGAAACTAGCTCTTACAAATATTAAGACCAGATTACACAGTAATTAAAATGCAGCTTTTTCTAGGGAGGAATGGGATCTTGTTTAAAATGCCAGAGAACCATTACTCATTATTTTAGGTCAGACAATGAAAAACATTGTATTGCATTGTATTGTACTGTATTGTATTGAAGGGACTCTTTAGTGGGTGGGGGATGTCAGAAGCCTGATGTCACTACTACATGTACGCACCACATAGATATTTCCATTATTAGTTGTGTGAATCTTAGTATGAACTCATTTCAGTCATTCTCATGACTGTTACCTGCCAAAAATATTCTTACTTATCTATTGTATTTCCTATTCTTGCTTTTTTTATTAAGTGAATACCTTAATAGTCTGTTATTACTGATTGTGGCCCAGATGCTGCTAATTATTATGCTCATGCATTATGCATGTGAATAATCATGTTAAAGTCAAGGGGAATACGATGTATATAAAATTAAGAATATGTAAAAGTGTTCAACGATCAGTGGCCAATTCAGTATGTATGAAGCATAGTAAATATATAAGATGTCCAACAAGGGAAAGGTAATAGTGCTATAAAATTTACATATATATGTAGGTACTGAATACTAGGTAGAGTTTTAAAATGGCTTCATAGCTATTCCATACATGGCAGGTTTAATTACATAGAATTATTTTTTTCTTTGTCTTCCAACTAGTGTGTTATAGTAATACCTGTTGCTGGGACATGTGATTAACATTGCATGGGCCCATGGCATTTTTTTAAAGAGAATCCCTAATCCCTGCTTAATTTTATGAACTGTCAAAATGATTCTAAACATCTCTCTGGTTTGCATTTTCACCTCAGGACAGGAGTCCATAGGTACAGATTTGTTGTACAACAGTGGACTTTAGGCAATTTTCATCTTTTAATGCCTGCAGCGTCTGAGGTTGAATTTGTAATAATCACTAGATTATCTCTAAAGGATCTTTCTGTTATACTTGCAAATGGTTCTGCAGGAAAATGCAAAAGATATAGAGGAAAAATAATTGATTAGAGGCAGGAGATCATTTTGTCACATAATCCCAGATGGAAAAGAAAACAAATGCTGGGTTTTTTGTTGTTGTTTTTTTAATGACAGGTAAAAGATAGTTGCTTTTCAAGTGAATCAGATTTTGATCTCAAGCCCTGATTAGATGTTAGGAGGTATTCAATCAAAGTCCTAAAAGAAATGTGAAGCTATGATACAAAACTTACTTAGAACCCAGGACCAGATCCTCAGCTGGTGTAAAGTAGAAAAGCAGCAATAAAGTCAATAAAGCTACATTGTTTTGCACTATGAATCTGGCTTTGAATTCTTAAAAAAAATAGGTATGAATTCCATGTAAAGGCAGATTCTGATCCTCTTACTCACACTAAATAGCAACTTTTTCATGATTACTCTTACTTTCTTCTTTTTGACCACATGTGAAATAAATCATGGTGAGTAATGGGGAACAAAATCTGGACACATGTCTCTGTGAATTTCATATAACATTCCTATGAAGGAAAGCCATGCAGAGGGACTGATCTGAGTTTGTGTATATCTGTGTTACACTAGTGTAAATGAAGTGACACTGGCACTAATGATATTAGAACCAGTCTTTGTGTATTTATTCATTATTACAACTCACTGAACATTCTATTATGGCAAATATATGAACCCACTTTCATTTACACAACTAGGACTTAATCATACTGATGAACAGTAAATTCAGAGGAGTTCCACCAAAGTCAATAGAGTTACTTGGGATTTACACTAACATTACTGACCAGAATCAGTTAGCTGGAGAGCCGCAGATAGTTATTTAATAATGATTATTAAATAACTATTTAATACATGATCTTGGTAACTAATTGACCATTCATTATCAGTGGGAAATAGGTCAATGGAGTTACTATAGAGAACTTTCTGGGTGTCTGGCTGGTGAGTCTTGCCCACATGCTCAGGGTTTAGCTGATCGCCATATTTGGGGTCGGGAAGGAATTTCCTCCAGGGTAGATTGGCAGAGACCCTGGAGGTTTTTTGCCTTCCTCTGTAGCATGGAGCACAGATCACAGCTGGAGGATTCTCTGCATCTTGGGGCCTTCAAAGTATTTGAAGGCTTCAATATGTGAGACATAGGTAAGAGGATTATTCTAGGAGGTGTGGGTGAGATTCTGTGGCCTGCACTGTGCAGGGGGTCAGACTAGATGATCATAATGGCCCCTTCTGACCTTAAAGTCTATGAGTCTATGAGAATGAGGCAATGAATCTATAAGGTCCTTATGCTATAAAAATTCCTTATGCTAAGAAAATCCATGCCTATCCTGGTCTTAAAAAATGCTCAGAAGAGGTGGAGATATTTGTGGGGCCTTTCATAAATAGGACATTCAGGGACACATTCATGGATTTTGAAAACCCACGACTCACAAAAGAGAGCTGAGAATAGTTTGATTGCAGGGTGGAATAGAGATCCTTAGGGAGACATTAAAAGGAAGGCACTATGAACTCATCACTGGAAAAAAGAATTTAGGAGTGTTTCTATAGCAGGGAACTCTGCAGTGTGGGCATGTACCTGCAGCTGGCAGAGAAATAAGGAAGGGGAACCTATCACAGACAAGGAGACAAGGAAAAGGGACAAGGAGATCTTTCAAAATGGTCAATCATAAGGAATTAGCATACTGAGACCACTAGAGGTGCTTACTGTACAGGGATCTGACAAGGTAGGGTTCCCTGATCAGTTAGGCTTATCGCTGGCCTGAAGAGGCAAACTACAGTTTGGATAATACTCAGAACCAGCTACAAAAGATTTCCATTACTAGGAGCTGGCCTATAGGAAGCCACTGGAGTCCAGAAGGGCAGCAGTTACCAGTGAAAGTTAATGTATTCTATTGATGCAGAGCTCTATAATTAGCCGCCTGTACAATTTGACTAATTAACTAGGAACCAGTGGTCTGTCCTCTTGTATATTGTGCTTTTGCACTTAGATATGCATACTTTCCCAGGCCTATTTATCTTATGTATTTACACAGGAAAGAAAACAACAATGTAGCCATTTTATCAAAGCTCTTCCCTGGATAGAATGTAATATCCCCAGACTTATGAAACCAACTAATAGTGAAAATAGTTGGAGCAGTGGAAGTATGAATCTACACAAATATCTGCTCCCATCAGCCACGAATTACAAAGGTCATATAGTGTGGAAGTTCCCACTTTTTGTACATTGTTGCTGAAGTTTGCAGTATTACTTTCATTTCTAAACAGTTAATGAAATGAAATGCAAGTAAAAAAGTAAAACAGGATATTAAATTTGTTTTCATTGTTTTTTGAGGAAAGAGTAGAAAACGGGGAATACTGGTATTGGGAAGACATATGCGCAAAATATATATCTGTATCTATATAGAGACATTAGCTAGTCATCAAATATTGATGGTGCATTGAAAATATAAGACTTAGGTAGAATGTTCCATTTGTTTGTTTTATTTGGCCGCTGTGTTAAGTAGAATAACTCATGAGAAGTGTTCGCATTCATCCCATATACTCTTTTTGTTAACAGGTTAGCACTCGACCAATTCACATATCCAAGGCTCTATGTATTATTAATCAAAAGAGTTAAAAAGTCAATCCAATCTAGTTATATACAGTAGTTCTTGTGGTTTTCAAACCTTTAAATAATTAATGGTGTCATCACTTTCCCAGTGGATGTCAGGCTGTAGAATGTCTGGAATCAGAATCCCACTGGGAAAAAAAAAGCAACCTAGTCAAAAAAGTAGTATTTTTTTTTAATAACAGCAACTCTAGCCTATTGTATCATCACTACCAGTCTCTAGAGAGATCATTCAGAATATAAAAGAGAAGTTTCTTGTATAAAAGTCCTTATGGGATCAAACAACCCTGGCAGATCTGTATCTATACAGTGTATCTAGCTAGCTAGGTGTGCATGCTCCTGAGCATCTATATTTAATAAATTTATCTCTAGATCTCTATCCATTATCTGTGTACAGTTCTCTATAATGTATCATATTCAAATTTTTCATAATCTTCAAAGATCCCTTTAGTGAATCATAAATAATTATTAGGATTTTTTTCCCCAAAATAGTTACCAGCATGGTTGAGATGGACATTTGATACAACTCCCCATTTTTCAGTAATTATTTGCTTTATGTTCCTTTGAGGCTATAATTTCCTATAGCTGATTATCTCAACCTTATGCAGTTTTTTTGAAAGTTTGAATAAAACTCAATCAGACATTTTGATTGGAGATTATTTTGGAAGATGCAAGTGGAGGGAGAGAAGCAAAATCCTTATGAGTTTTCTTTTAATATTTCTGGGTACTTCAGTATAGTATATCAAAAAGGTTTATTTTTTAAAGTCATCCATGAAGACATGTACTTTAAATTTAAAAGTATGTTAAAAATAATGACATTATTTTAAGTGACAGAATATTATATTAATATACCAGCTTTGCTAGTAAGGGACATGATTTTCCTTTCTGAGTAATGTATTCTGATGTTATCATTAACTTAACACCAAAGACTTTTTGGATATTATTTCAATACAGATAATCACTACTTCTTTCTTGTTTATCCCAAAAATTGATGGAGCCCATTATATCTGACAGGTGTCTGTCATGGTCCCCGAATGTCTACATATTCAAGTTTTTTCTCCCACAGTCTTTTATACTGAAGAATACTCTGCATAATCCCCTTCCTAAAATCTAAAGATGCCCATCTCACTACTGCCCCAAATACTTAAGCATATCACTTATGACAAGCCTAACTCACACTCATTGGCAAAGCCATAGATGCCCTTTCAACTATTAATCTACCCAATCTATGTATACTTCAACCTGCATTCTGAGTTCCAACTTGACAACCTGCAGCTGGAGTTTTAGTCTTACACGTGTTGTATCTTAGGGTGTGTCTAGACTACACGCCTCCGTCGATGGAGGCATGTAGATTAGACAGATAGGCAAAGGGAAATGAAGCCATGATTTAAATAATTGAGGCTTCATTTAAATTTACATGGCTGCCGCGCTGAGCCGACAAACAGCTGATCAGCTGTTTGTCGGCTCCGCACGCTAGTCTGGATGTGCCGCGCCGACCTGAAAGCCTTTTATTGACATCCCCCTTATGCCTCGTAGGATGAGGTTTACAGGGGATGTCAATAAAAGGCTTTCATTTCGACAGGGGAGCGTCCAGACTAGCGCCCGAAGCCGACAAACAGCTGATCAGCTGTTTGTCGGCTCAGCGCAGCAGCCATGTAAATTTAAATGAAGCCGCGATTATTTAAATTGCGGCTTCATTTCCCTTTTTCGAATACACAAATCTACATGCCTCCGTTGATGGAGGCATGTAGTTTAGACGTACCCTTAGAGAGCTGAGCGGTGATGGCCTTTTACTTGGGCGTTAGGGTGGTGGCACTTTTTTTCCTTTGAAAAAAAGAAACTAAAGAAACAACAAAGAAACTAAATGAATCATATAATAGTTTTGCAAGAAAAAACATGAACATTTAAGGGCACAAATGTCAGGAAATTCCCTCAGTGACATTGCACATACTGAATTATATTGCTCTGAGCTACATTTCACTCACTTTGATACAGTCACTCTCGATTTACACTTGTGTAACTGACAGCATTGGACCTTTGGCCTACACACACACACACACACAGACACACACACACATTAAACTATGCATGTACTGATCTAAATGCTATGCTTTCAAAAACCTGGACTCTTAGGTTTGCATTCTCAGACTTAATTGTCCGTTAATATGGATTCTGTTGCTTAGTAAATTTGTATGTTTCTTAGATGACATGTTCCTCCAGAAACCATTATACTTTTTTCTTAGATCATAATGAATGTGTGTAAAAAGTAAAAACAGTTGTAGAAATGCACAAGCAATTAAATTGTCATTTTAGCACTGCTGAGATAACACAAAGCCCTAACTTTTTATGAGTATTTCCAGACAACTTCTGAGCCCTTTCTTAAAGAAGGAATTCCATTCAATGAATTTTCTAAATGGTAAGTTCCATCAGAAGTACTAGAATATTCCACAGCAACCAGTTGAGCTGGCTTACAGTGGGGGAGCCTATCATAAACCTCCTTGCAAAATGTAGCAGTGGCTGTACTCTACTAGTGCTTCCACTTGTACTGTGTTGTTCTAGGAATGATGCCTCCAACAACTCCCACTAAAGAGATAAGGTCAGATTATGGTATTATGGGTTATGGCTATTGGCTGCTACCAGAAATGCTCCTTGTAGTTGTAGGCAATGAAGCTAAAGGAGCCAGTTTTAATTTACATGAGGGTTTGTTCTGGTCCCTGGAGAGCCCAAAAGTACAGCTTTTTATTCCCAAGGTAGGGTACATACACTTTTGCTTTACTCTCTTTTTCTATCCCAAGAACAGCTCAGCCATATCAGATGTGGCTCAAAATTTATGGAAAGAAAGTGCACAAGTGTTTTGTTGCTCTGGAATACTCAGCACCATTTATCCTGATTTTTTTACCAGAATAATTTAACCACATCAGTGTTCTGCACTGTATTAAAATAATACTTTGCATTTCTATTGTACCTTCACTCTGAAGATTTAAAACATGCATGATATATATTTATCAATTTATTGCTATTGACTTCTTGAAGACACACCTCTTCTAAAAGCACAACAAAAGTGTCCATTACTCTTTAAAATTTTATTATTTATAAATAACAAACACAATACATCTTGATTATAAACAATATAAAGGGGGGAAAGGAAGCAATATTTTGGACAGTTCACATGGTTTGGCAGCCTGCAGACTGAACAATATTCAATTTGTTGAAGACGAGACAATAAAGTCATTCTTTGTAGCTATCCAGCTGGCATGGAGAGCTACCCATTGTGCTACCGACTGGGAGACCTGGGATTAGGGAGTAACTCAGGTTCCCAGGCTTGGCACCACAGGAAACACAAGTTTATGTATTTAGTCTTTGAACAGAAGAAGAGGTCACAGTTCAGTACCATTTGAGAGCTGATCTACTGAACAGCATTAGTACTGGCTCCAGAGGATAGTTGCTCGTCTGCCCATGTGGTCAAAGGTGACATGCCCTAATAATGCCTCCAGCAAGGTAGAAAAGATAAAAAGGTTGCAAAGCAAAGCAGAATTAGGGGAAATGCACTCTTTCAAGGGAATGCAATGAAAAAGGACAATCATAATAAAATGCTACTTCCTGAAAGTAAGGCAGTGCTCTTGAATCAAGCAATGCAAAGTGCCCCCAATATACAAACTAGCCCATTTTTAAAATGTATTTGTTCTTATAAAGCTATAGAACCATATAAAATCTACTGTATTCTCTTCAATGAGAAACACAAAAGAAGAGAGAGAGAGTGATTTTACTGCAATTTCTAAAACCTCTCAGAAAACTCAGGAACTTTAGACTACTCCCATTATAAAAAGAGTAGGATAAAAGTTAATGTATTACCCAGTTATCAATCAAAAGCCCAGGACTATTGGCTCAGGGAAATAACAGAGACTGTGAATTAAGGCTACACTAGAAATCTAGTGGAATGACCAGGAATTGTTTTAGTCTGATAGCTATTTTGCATTTTATCAGAAAAGAATTGGTGGTCTTCCTGAAAAGGCAATCTCTGTGAATTCATCCACACTACAGATCAATAAGACATAATGATGGTAACAAGAGCTCATCAAATATTTTCACAAAATATTTAACATTTTTTTTGAACATTTGTCTCCATTTTCCAACAAACGTGAATGGTGTCACTTTTTCTGGCATTTTCAGAAGAAAGCTTAATGATTTACTGGTTCTCTCCCACAACTGACATGTGCACATGTATATTTAGTGCCTTTTTATTTGGTTCCTGTGCTGCCACCATCCAATATGCACAATACAATGGAGGGGTTCTGAATAATTGCAAATGGAACAATAAAGATGCCTAAGAGATCTGCAATCTACATGTGAAATTTCATGAAGTGCCTACATTTATCTACCACTGTGAGTAAGGTGAGTCTGAGTAGCAGAACTGTTTGAATTATTTGCTGAAGACATTCAGTCCCACTTGTTCTGTGTATAAACAGGGAATAACAGGGCTGTTGATCAGGAGCTATTCGGAAGCACTGCATATATTTAAAGTTAAAAAAAGCCAACTTCACAAAATTGCATGAGGACTTTGTATCCACTCAGGCCTTTAATTTTACATTAATCTCTAGAGTTTGGGATGTGTGTTTGTATTTTTTCCAGAGAGACAAAAATAATATTTTATTTCTAAAATGTGAAAAGAATGTAGGTGGGCTGGGAGGTTCTTATAGCTTACATTATGAAACTTCATGTTTATCGGTCAGTGATTCTCACAAGATGGACAAGCATCACATTGGATTTTTTAGTTAGTCCTGGGAATGAGAAGAGCTTTGCACCCTTTAAAAATAATAATAATAATAATAATAATCAGGCCCCAAAGCCTCTCCTGAAAAATGAAGGGAACACATCAGTAAGGGTCCAGCAGGCCTTCTCTGAACAGACAAAACTGGTATTGAAAGGTAGATGCATGTTACCAGCAATGGGCTGTGTAAGAAAGTGGAGGAAGGTTTGCAAATGTTTCTGACAAGATGAGCCCTCATATTTTTGAGATAATCCAGGTGTCTTAGGGCTATATTGCTCCCTTGCTCGACCTTTATGCCCATGAAGGGAAGCCACAGGAAGTAAGTACTCTTCCCCACCTTTTGTGAGACCTAAGCACTCCAGA